AACCGTCAATCAACAGGTGTACAGGTTCCTGAGCCTATTGGGCTCTATCATATCTACACTTGAAACTGTGTATGGAGTCAGCCTCCACCACATCACTTCCTAATGCATTCCATTTGTCTACTACTCTGACACTGAAAAAATTCTTTCTAACGTCTCTATGGCTCATTTGGGCACTTAATTTCCACCTGTGTCCCCTTGTGCGTGTGCCCCTTGTGGTAAAAAGTCTGTTTTTATCTACCCTAAACCTTGTGTGTGTGTGTGGGTGGGTGGGTGGGGGTTGTTTCCTTAGCCACGTTAGTGTGACTTACTCTCTGGGGGAAGGTCATGACACTAGCATGATCCGTAATCCACAAGAAAGTTGCATCTTGCAGAATTATCCTGGTACCATACGTGTCAAAGAGCTGCCACACGATAAAGTAAATGTACCCAAAGGTACCATTGCGTCGCATCATTGTATCCACTTGTGACGCATTCAATGGAAACAGCCAGTTCCTGTTCCCAAACATTTTTTGTCATGTTTTGCTGTCATCCAGTCGCAAAACATTTTTTTTTAGTAGAAAGAAATCCTTATTTACAGAAAAATGATAACAGGATCTCTCTTTCTTTTTAACTCTGATAATGTTTAAATGATAAATGCACTATTAAATTTATTATTCTCAAAAAAGCTCTGTTATGACATAGCATAGTTTTTAAAAGCTATCTTAGGAGTTGGCATAGTTTTATAAAGCGCTAATAGGAGCGAGGACAGTTTTATAAAGCTATAATAATAGGAGTGAGTATTGTTTTATAAAGCTAGTAGATGGGATACCCGGCTGTGCCCGTGTCTCTTTCCCCCTTTCTCCCATCTCTCTTAACCCATTTCCAATCTTCTCCTCTCCACCAATCTCCTTCGCTCTCCCGCAACATTCCCGTGTTTTGTGAAGCTCAGTTAGAAGTGAGCAGAATTTTATAAAGCAGTATTAGAAGTGGACATAGTTTTATAAAACTGAGTTAAGACTGAGCATAATTTTGTAAAGCTATCTTAGGACATATCTTTATCAAACATAGCCTATGTTAGGAGAGAATATTGTTTTAATGAACTAATAACAAAATTGTTCCATTTAAATACTACCACCAACATGGGTTCAGGGACGGTAAACCTTTCCTCACAAAGTTTAAAAATTTTTATGATTGAACGATATAAATCAGACGAGTCGAGGGTGGGCGGGCAGACAGCATATTTCTGGAATGTCAGAAAGCCTTTGTTACAGTACTCCACAAGATGGAGAAGCAGACAGAAGTGACATGAATTTTGCTCCAGTAGATCAGGGAGTGCCTGAACAACAAAAGTTATTATCTCTCCGAGTAGCGAAATGTCACTAATAAAGTCCCAGAAGGGTTAGTATCCGGACCTATCCTAATTTTGATGTATCAAGAATCGGACAGAGAAAGAGATGGTGTTGTATCACACAGAACCTGAAGCCTACATCAAGTGGACATCAGCAGCGCATTCTAGATTGGCATAGAGTAAGGAATAATGCAGGACCAATTCAGAGTCTTTCGTACCACATACGTCAGACCAATTTTAAAATATGCCACGCCAGCGTGGAGTCCTTATCTAGTTAAACTCAAAATTAAGTAGAGGAAAAATCTAAGAAATGACACTGAACTAGTACCATAATTAAGAGGTAAGAGTTATGACCAAAAAACACAGGAATTAAGCCTTGTATTTTTTTTAACGCAAATGTGATCACACATTTAGAACGGTAACCATTATATATACATTTTCTTCTGTTCTCCATGGACAGGGTTAGAGATCTGTTAAACATATAGTGCAGTGATTTATTGAACAATCAACTACAGAAGGTGATTGCAGTGCTTTTAAAATGCTAACCTACATACCTAAACACACAGATTTACGTCTGTCCTACATAAGCAGTGTTCAAGGTATCTTTTACAATGTCATAAATGTGCGTTTACAAAAGGTGAAATGCAATTCTGACCAGCTTAAACATAAAAAAATCTACCTTACGTCATTAGAAGACAGAAAATAAGTGATTTACATGCTTACCACATACGAAAATACTGGGAAATTAGAAGGGTACCTGCTTGCTTCATACCTGCTTGATGGGGTTCTGGGAGTTCTTCTACTCCCCAAGCCCGGCCCGAGGCCAGGCTTGACTTGTGAGAGTTTGGTCCACCAGGCTGTTGTTTGGAGCGTCCCGCAGGCCCACATACCCACCACAGCCCGGTTGGTCCGGAAATTCGTTTAGAAAACAAAATCTAGTTTTCTCTTGAAGATATCCACGGTTGTTCCAGCAATATTTCTTATAGTCGCTGGGAAGACGTTGAACAACCGAGGACCTCTGACATTTATACAGTGTTCTCTGATTGAGCCTATGGCACCTCTGCTCTTCATTGGTTCTATTCTGCATTTTCTTCCATATCGTTCACTCCAGTATGTTGTTATTTTACTGTGTAGATTAGGGACCTGGCCCTCCATTTTTTCCATGTGTATATTATTTGGTATCTCTCTCGTCTCCTTTCTAGTGAGTACATTTGGAGAGCTCTGAAACGATCCCAATAATTAAAGTGCTTTATCGCTTCTATGCGTGCTGTATATGTTTTCTGTATTCCCTCTGTTTCAGCAATCTCTCCTGCTCTAAAGGTAGACAAGGCCAGACTATTCAGCACGGGTGGTACTCAACCAAGATAACACAGGTAGACACAGAATACCCATATGAGCCATTAAACATTACAACAAATTCAGTGTCAGTGAAGCGAACCACTGGAATGCCCAAAGAAATGAACTAGTGAAGAAAGCTTCCAAGCAGTTTCAAATGTACATGATAGAGCCAACAAGGGTTACAAAATTGAACACCAGTCGATCGAAAACAGAGGCGGGACCACGTAGCTGAAGCTCAAACCCCACAAAGACAATTAGGCAAGTACAATTACCCAAATACAATGGAATATTAAATATTAATATTTAATATTCCAAATACAATTAAATAACTGTACCTGCATAAAGGGTTCGGCTGCTGAGAGTGTCTTCCATTATCTATGTTCTGGGTTCTCATGCTTTGTGGCAGCATAATTTTCTCTGACTGACCGTGAAGGGGAAGTGCGGTGACCTTCAGCGAGGCAGATGACGGTCATGATCAACTGATTGTGTCAACAGCGGGTATATAAGTGGAGCAGCTCACCAGTCAGTCAGTCACTCGACCAACAGCTTCAGTGTCACCTTCCTATACGCTCCCACTGACATGTTCTACAAGGTCTGCCCATTTATCACTTGTGTACAACTGTACTCCTATAAAGACCAATTATTCCATAACATTAATATCATGCACAGCTGGATTACTTCCTTGCATCATAATTCCAATTAACGATATGACAATTGAAATTATTTATTGTATTTTATATATTTCATATTCTAAAATTTAAAGTGACTTGATGAAACCGATCTTGTGTTCACTAACAAGTAAAATAACTCAACTTCTATAAAGCCAGAGACAAGTGACTGACTCACAAGGACTCATCTTCCCCAGGTGTGTCTGGTCCTGGTGGTGGCCGCCGTGGCTATGGCGGACCCGGGTGACTACGGCGGACCCGTCTACGCCTCGGTACGTGTATTCCTGTGTAGTCAACCTAAATATACTAGCATAACCGTGCTTGCATGGTCGATCATTATTTCCAGAGCTCAGCCTTCTCAACTGTTGATTACATTATGCAATGAATCCCACTACTACTACTACTACTGTTTATCACAAAATATTTATAAAGTTTTCAGTTTTCTTATAACAATCATAATCTGGTAATATTAACAATGTCAACTGTAAGAGGCTGTGATCCCCCAAGCATACTTCAGTTTAACTTTGTCATCCCAGTCAGGCACAAACCTCGTATTATACATCCAAACTATTACTAGCTTTGCACAGCGTTCTTCATGTAGGGGATTCCAAGCCAGTGCTGCATATTCATGAGTGGGTCTAATACTAGGCAGGTACAGTGTTAAGAAATGGAGCCAGGATTTGCTATAACTATCCTCATGTTTGCTACCATCGGGTTTGATCATTCATTTACCCTATGTTTGTGCACCTTCCGTGTTAGGCTGAGGGTAATGTCAGCTCTTAATGCTTTCTCTGTGTCTGAAGATTTCTCCTCTTGCCAATTTATTCTTCCGATTCCTTGTGTTTCATTACCATGAGATTGTCTGGAATCAAGTCACACAACCATATCCCATACCATCCCAAGAAATGTACTCCTCCATCTTCCTTTACTTCTCTCCACTCTTATTCGTATCTCCCTTCACTGTAAGTTTCCTAACTATGAGGGACTCCTTTTCCGAATTTAGCACATCTACACATACTTAGTTCAATTGGTATATGAGCAATGTAGCTGATAGATCTTGTGACAATCGAAAAGATATAATCGGTGCATGATTTCCACTCCTCCTTTAACACCATTACACTTTCATGTATTTCCAATTAGTTCTCTAAACATATACTTTCCTGAATTCATACTAGGTTAGTTTACCTTGCCTTTGTGTATGATCGATATGAACAATATGGAAGAAAATGCAGAATAGAACCAGTGAAGAGCAGGGGTGCCACAGACACAGAGAACGCTGTATAAACATCAGAGATCCACGGTTATTCAACATCCTCCCAGCGAGTATAAGAAATATTGCCGGACCAACCAGGCTGTGGTGGATATGTGGGCGTATATGAGAGTAATTAAACTACCATAAATATCGAGGATCCCGGGTTCGAATCTCGGGAGGGACGGAAATGGTTAGGCACGTTTCCTTTTACCTAATGCCAAACATTGTATACCAATTTTCATGCCCCAATGGAGATTGTGACCTTCAATCTACCTGTATTGGTATTCTTCTCGGGCCGCTCCAAGCAACAGCCTGTTGGATCATGCTCTCAAGTCAAGCCTGGCCTCGGGCTGGGCTTAGAGAGTTGAGGAACTCCCAGAACCCCATCAAGCAGGATCATTGCGATATTAAGCTGAACCTTTCCGTGCACATGTCAACAATTCGACAGCTAAAATTATGTATAAAAGTACCTATTTTCCCCCAGGAGCCACTGCCGTACTACTACGACTACAACGTACATGACGGCTACAAGGGCACCAACTTCGGCCAGCACGAGAAGTCCGACGGTAAAAATGTGTACGGCTCCTACACCGTCGACCTCCCCGACGGTCGCAAACAAAGGGTACGTCCCCCTCCCCCCCCCCCCATTCCCTCACACTTTTTACGCTTTTCACTCCATCGCCTTGTGTGAAAACCTAAGTTCATGAATAACGTTATAAATTCCATGGCCACAACAATTTAAAGTTAAAAGCACCGTGTTCTTCCCCAGGTGGACTACACAGCTGACCACTACAGGGGCTACGTGGCCAAGGTCAGCTACTACGGCAAGGCTCAGCACCCTAAGCACTACGGCCCCGCCGTCACCTTCTTCAACAAGGGCTACGGCCACGGAGGCGGATACCACTGACGACTCGGAAATACCATCACGAACTGTCAATAATGCACAGTTGTTTGATAAATAAAGAATAAATATCAATATATTAGTGTTGTAATACCTCAATGAACAGAAAACTCATGGCTAAGTAAATTCTAAACTAGCGATTCCAAATTTTTTATCTCATTCTCCCATTTCCATCTTCGTTCTCACTCGAGACCTTTCACAACGCCATTCTCAACTAGGGACGTCTGCAACAAAGTATATCAGGCTAACAAAATTGCCACTGGTGTGACAAATACATATATTCTCATGTCACAAGCTCTGTACTGTTATTCTCAGTTAAATCTGCATGTAAATGATAACAGTAACAATTCTGTTCAACTCTATCAAAATTGCTTTTTATTAAGTTAAAATACAATAAGATAAATAGCATTTGTTCCTTGAATCCTTTAAAATTATTTCATGGATTCCCCAGTCGTGAACTACTGTTCTAGACAGTCCAGATATATATATATATTGAACCATTACAAAATGTAATTTTGTAATATATATATATATATATATATATATATATATATATATATATATATATATATATATATATATATATACACACATATATATATATATATATATACATACATATATATATATATATATATATATATATATATATATATATATATATATATATATATATATATACATACATATATATATATATATATATATATATATATATATATATATATATATATATATATATATATATATATATATATATAAATATGTCATTCAATAATAAATGTGTGTAATTTGTACAGTTAGGTTTAATATTGTTTAGTGTTAGTGTAAACATGTAAATCACAAGATCGTGTTGTATCTATTAAAATATTGAAGCCATACGATGGGATCGAACCCGAGTCGACGCTATGTATATATATATATATATATATATATATATATATATATATATATATATATATATATATATATAATATATTTATATATATTTATTATTGAATGACATTATATATATACGAATCCTATAATCATATGAAGCCCTTTTTATAACCACTAATAAGCATGTACAACTTTAAGTTAAAGTAAAAATACATTAAGTTATCGTTAGGAAACCAATACAAAAATAAGCTTATTATCCTTTTAAATATTACTCATAGCTTCCAAACAATACTCGTTCCTAAAAGTTGAGGCTCTGTAACCCCCGGAGTCGACGCTATGTACCTCAGTCAAGAATCTGTTCCCCAGAGTCGATGCTCTGTGCCCTAGAGGCGAGGCTCTGTGACCTAGAGGCGAGGCTCTGTGACCTAGAGGCGAGGCTCTGTGACCTAGAGGCGAGGCTCTGTGCCCTAGAGGCGAGGCTCTGTGACCTAGAGGCGAGGCTCTGTGACCTAGAGGCGAGGCTCTGTGACCTAATAGTCAGTATTAGTATACCTCCCCCACCACAACAATGTGGTAGACCACTATCACACTTTGCTTGAAAGACAAGAGATGATTACCAGCACACTTCAGTTGTTAGACGGCTGTGGATCGTTCAGTGTGGTTACATGGACGCGGATGGTTCAGTAAGGTTAATACTAATGAACCAATTAGCAGCTGCTCCAAGACTTAAATTATTGTAAATGTATAATGTACTTCTGATCTCTGTTTCAGCACATAAACGTCCCGTTTTTTTTTAACGAAATTGACCAATCCATTAAAAATGCTACGTATTAGTAAATTTTAGACCACCGTAATATTGACGTTTTCTATGACTCGGCCTTGATGAGTTAGGTGGGTTGCTTGGGTTCGTAATTTAGTGGTTAGGCAAGCGAAGGGAAGTGAATTATCGGTGGAAAATACCATGACATTACAACTATATAGCACATGGAAGGGATCAGGATAAGGATTTGGAATGGGACGAGGGGAAGGAATGGTGCCCAACCACTTGGACGGTCGGGGATTGAACGCCGACCTGCATGAAGTGACACCATCGCTCTACCATCCAGCCTAAGTTGCTGGACAACGGTTGCAAAGGTTTAACGAAGTTGCAAATACGACAACGAGCTGGTACAATAGACTCATAATCTGCGACAACACTTCATGGAGATGCAGAAATGTGCAAATCCATTGACAAATGGCTTTGTGTGTGTGGGGGGGGGGGTGGCTTTTAAGAGACCAATGAAGACAATAGAATCTTAATTGACTGATTTGAAAACATAATGTAGATCACAGCTTTCTCCTGAATACCTGTCCACACAATAATTCCTCGGTGTCGACGCCTACTTTAAAATGATTTATATTTTATTTTGGAAGATTTAAAGACAGAATCGCTAGACAGATTTATGAGGTAATGTTATGCACATTACCATATGCATATGTAAATAGTTCCGTTCCGGAACTATTTACTCTACCCACCATGAGAGTAAGGACAAGACAAGAACATATCGATGCCAACACAGAAGACAATGTCCAACATAACAGGCCAATTACACTGGATTAATCTTTGTGTTTAGATAGGAGATGCCTCGTATGGGCCAATAAGCCTTCTGCAGCCCCTATGTTTATCCCTTATGTATCCCCCCATGTTTTTCACCTTCATTGTATTATCACCTGACCTAATGCGGGTATAAAATCAACTAGTATTGTAAGATCTGTTCACTTGAGAATGAACCATGGAGGTTCGAAACGTCGTGCAAATTATACAAATAAGTGTAATACACTCTATAGTAAATCACTTCTTTTCTTCACCTTAAAAGTACGAAAATGAGTTTTGGAGAACTCCTATTCCAATTAAGCCCTGATGCTAAGAAAATAGTTAGAGGGATAGAAGCCCTAAACCAGAAAATAATAAATACAGAATATGCGGTCATATTCAATGAAACATATATATATATATATATATATATATATATATATATATATATATATATATATATATATATATATATATTAAAGACCTGGGCAGCAAGCGTTCCATTAAACATATTTTGTTAAATATGTTGTTATTTCGCAATATGTTGAATATGAAAACGCATTGCTAGCGATATTCACCTTACATTGTAAGCTTTCTATAGTTCTAACTTCTTAAGTCATGGTAAAGAAACTCGAGTAATTATTGAAGCATTTATTTTCTAGAACGCTTCGTTCCTTTCTGGAACATCTTCAGGTAAAGAATAAATACATGATGTATTTAAAAAGAAATTGTACATGTTAAAGCAACCCGTGCTTCTAACAGAACGTCGCATTTTGACGCATACCTTTCATAATTGCGTAATGCATTAAACACGTCACGTTTAAAGTAAAGTTTTTTGGGCTTAAAGCCAAGCCCAAAATTCAAACGTCCTAGAAAATAATACCGGCTCGCGAAATTGACATGCTGTCCGGTTTTCTGTTTTGGGTCCTCTGGTAGGTTAGGATAAGGGCACTTTAGTACAACTTCTTGACGTTGGGAAACCTTAAGACAACGGGCTGAAGAAAGAGTGGAAGGAGTGTGAGGTGAGGTGAGGGAAGCAATCAAACACTGGGCAAGGCTCTGGGTACAACTCCGTCAGCATTGAGACTTCCTGACATCATTAACCGGTGATGTTTTGCGAGACCTGGGTCTAAGTGCTGACAAGAAAGTCAACTCATTATTCTGTATATTTAAAGTGGGTCTTTTTCTCTTATAAGTATAGATTCCAGGATTTTTTTGTATTATCTACTTGCATGTTCCTAATGAGTGTTATGTACACGTATACGTTGAATATGGTTTCTAGGGACACCAGCTTGTAGATGGCAGGTCAGTCTTCTCGAAAACTTTGTGATAGTCCAACCCGTTCTCGCACTTGCTTTAAGTCAATATTGGCTTATTAATAAAGTGCATATGTGACATACTAATTTATTGTGAATATTTTAGTTTACCTTGAAAAGCTTTATAAAAAACACCGACCTTACCTAACCTTTTTTGTATGTTAAGATAAGCATCTTATTGCTTCTTAATTACAATTATTCCTTAACCTATTATAGGTATAGGTTAAGTAATAATTGTAATTAAGAAGTAATAAGACACTTAACATACTAAGGAGGTTAAGTAAGGTCGGTGTTTTCTATAAAGTTTTTCAATGCAAACTAAAATATTCACAATAAATTAGTATGTCACATATGCACTTTATTCATAAGCCAATATTGACTAAAAGCAAGTGCGAGAACGGGTTAGATGGTCATACCAATATAAGCAGATCGACGGTGACATCCTTCATTGGGGCGTGATAATTGGTATACCGCGATATATATTTTTTGGGAGAGGGTTGTACATTTCTGAACACGACTCCCAAACTAAGGATGCAAGGAAACATTTCTTTAGTGTGAAAGTGGTGCGATAAAGTGAATAGAAACATCTAACCCCAGGACTTGAAGCTCAGCCCCACACGGACACTAAAGTACCTTTAGTATTGTTATATCATTAATACTTTAATTATAATACACTGTACTATCTAATAGCACTCTGGTCCAAGCATGGAAGTCGTCCCATAAAGTAAATTTAAATGTTTAAACAACAAATATGAATTGTCAATTATATCTATACAAATTACATTAAAAAACTAAAATTATTCAATACACAAGAAAAACTACGGCACTGTTCGCCAAACGTACTTGAAAAAAAATAGAATAAATAGAAACTGTCGCCAATGCCATGACAACTTTAAATAGCAAAACAATAGACTCAAAGAGAGCAAAGTAAATACCTCGCAACAAATGAACTTTTGAATTCGGGAAAAATATACACTTATATATCGTAAACTTGCAGAGAAATGTTTTCTGATCGAGAATTGCAACTTTCGACACCATTCCAGTCAGGGTTGCTACCTTCGTGCACTCAACGGTGTACTAATGTTGCAAGGCTGGGGGAGGGATGCCAGGGGGGGGGCTGGGGGAGGGATGCCAGGTGGGGCAGGGGGAGGGGATGCCAGGTGGGGCTGGGGGAGGGATGCCAGGTGGGGCTGGGGGAGGGGATGCCAAGGGGGGGCTGGGGGAGGGCAGCAAGGCCGTGCTTGAAGATGACGGTCATGATCAACTGATTGTGTCAACAGCGGGTATATAAGTGGAGCAGCTCACCA